CATCACCAGCCAATGCTCTAGCAGTGCCCCCTGTAGACACGCCGGTCGTGGCCTCATTCTCCTCCTCTGGCACCCCCACTGAGCCAGAGGACATACTTAAGCCCGAGGACAAACGGTCCGAACAGACACTCAAATGCAACCACCAAGCAGCTGCGTGGACTGTCCGGGCTTTGACCGCTGCATCGTTTTTCACGAGGGCCTCGCTCCACTGGCTGCACCAATTACAAGGCCGGACCCCGGCATCTGACTTCAGGTCTCACCAGGACCTCCACAAAATAATAGCAGCAGCGGAATTTACGGCAGATGCCACCCTTAATTCCACCATGGTTGCAGCCAGAGCCATGGCCTCCTCGGTGGCAGAGAGAAGGCTCTTATGGCTTCAGAATTGGCAGGCGGAGTCGTGACGGAAGTGGAAATTGGCTTCGGCTCCCTGTACAGGTGAAAGGCTCTTTGGCAATGCACTAGAGCCACATCTCATCAAGACCAGGGACAAATGGAAAATTCTTTCCTCATCAGGAAAGAAAACTGACTATCGCCCTGCTCCATACCGTCCCCCGACATTTCGGCCCAAGACTACCCCCCGTTTTTCCCAGCCACAGAGGGCATATTCCCAGCGACAAGATCAACGCCCAGACACACCCGGCAGACAACAACCTTCTGCGGGTAAACAGCCCTTTTGTGGGGGAGGGAGTCGTTCCTTCCGTCACTCTAAGTAATCCCTCATTCTCTCCACCCATCAGAGGTTGGTTAGCTTACTTCGCCTCCAGATGGGAGGAGTCAACGACGAACACCTGGGTACTCAACACTGTACGGTCAGGACTGCAGTTGGAATTTCTCTCGCCACCCCCAGAGAATTTTGTGTTCTGTCCCATTTCGTGGAACAGTTCAAAAAGGGCCCTTATGGAATCAGCCATTCAACATCTAGTTGACATAAGGGCCATTCAAGCTGTCCCGGAACATCAATGTGGACGGGGATTTTATTACCAACTTTTCATGATCCCTAAGACCTTGGAGGGTTGGCGAGCCATCCTTGACCTCAAATTTTTGAATGAGTTTATCCCATACAAAATGCAGACCCTGCATTATATTTCAGAGAGCATTCGGAGGACGATCTCTCCTTCCTTGACCTTACGGAGGCCTACCTCCATATACCCATTTGGCCTCACCATCACCGGTTTCTCCGTTTCTGTTACCAGCACCATCACTTCCAGTATCGAGCCCTCCCCTTCGGGCTCTCTTCAGCTCCAAGGGTCTTCACGAAGATCCTAGCAGCATTGGTGGCTTCGCTTCGGTCTGTTCCAGTGAGGATCCAATGCTACCTGGACGACATTTTGATACAGTCCTCCACCCACTCTGCCCATCGAGACCTGCAAATTACCCTTTGCTGCCTTCAGGACCACGGCTTTTCCATCAACACCAGGAAGAGCCATCTTACTCCTACAATCAGATTGCTTCACCTGGGGGCTGTCATCGACACAACCCTGTGCCAAGTCTTTCTGTCTCCAGACCAGGGGAAAAGCCTCACCGAGATCATCCGTCGAGTTCGACATCAACACACTGTTCCCCTGGCACTGCTGTCCAAATTATTGGGGAAGATGTTCTCATGCATCGGGATCGTCCCGTGGGCATGGCTTCACTCCCGATCTCTACAATGGTTCCTGCTCCCTTTTCAACGAGCAGGAACCAGCCACACATCGATCAGGGTCCAACTCACTCCACAGGCCCTGCGTTCCTTCAAGTGGTGGCTCTCCCCAGCCCTCCGGAAGGGACATCCCATTCAAGGAGCCGTTACTCACCATGGACACCAGTCTTCTGGGTTGGGGGGCCCATATGGAGGGCTAGATAGCTCAGGGTATTTGGTCCCAGATAGACAAAAACTGCCCCATAAACTGGCTAGAGCTCAGGGCCATATCTCTAGCACTGAGGCACTTCAGGGCCACGGTAACTGGATCCCATGTACTAGTTGTCAGCCTTCAAGATTTTTCTCCCTTTGCTTTGCATCTTTTGGCTGTCATAAGTAACGGGGGGAGGAGGAGGGAATGGTTATGGGAAGTGAGCTGGAGGTGTTACAAACCAGCACTGTATAAGCTGGGGGGGGGGTACATTCTTGCTTAGGTTTCTATCCTATGCTATGCGCAGCTGCAACCCTTTACCAAACTATGTCAAGGTCAACGGACAGAAGCCTCATCACCACCTGGAGATGCCCACATGATGATATACAAAACTTTTAATTGGATGAGCCAATTGAACTATTGGGTGTGGGAACGTTGCCATTACTTTGTATATGTGATTTACGCGCCCATTTTCTCAGATTCAGAATTCTTTTGTTGCTACCACTTGATTTCCAGTAAAAGATATCTTTTCTCTGATTAAAAGAGTCTTAAGTATTTCTTTCTTGGATTTTGAATGGAGCACCAGTTGACACTAGTGTTGACGGACCAGACCGCAAAGGCGCACGTCAACAGGCAAGGGGGGACAAGGTCCAGGGCCCTCATGAGGGAGGCCAAACATTTGGGGCTGTGGGCGGAGAGACATTTGTTGTCGATAACAACAGATCACATCTCGGGAGTCGACAACTCCCAAGCCGACTGGTTAAGCCGGAGCTTGGTCAACCATGCAGAATGGCACCTCCACCCATCCCTTTTCAGAGACCTTTGCCTGAGGTTTGGGACCCCGGAAGTGGATCTCTTCACTCCCCAAAACGTCCAAGTAAACAGATTTTTCACCAGGTTTCTTTGTCAGGGAGCAGAGGGAACCAATGCTCTTCAGTGCAGATGGCCCAGGGGTCTCCTCTACGCCTTTCCCCCTCTTCCCATCATTCCGGCAGCCATTCGAAAGATGTTGGAGGAACGGGCAGAACTAATTCTCCTGGCCCCCTATTGGCCACGGAGGCCCTGATTTACAGACCTGGTGAACCTGTCTGTAGCCTCTCCCTGGAGGATTCCAGCCCACACGATCTCCCTCCATCAGGGAGCCTTGCTCCATCCGGATCCCCAGTGGTTCAAACTGATCATGTGGCGCTTAAGCGGCAACAGTTGAGAGAGGCTAAACTCCTGGAGAAAGTTATTCTCACCATCCAGGCGTCTCTCAAACCATCCACGATGCACATCTACGATGCCACCTAGAGGTTTTTTTTGTCAATGGTGTCGTAAGGAGGGTCTTTCACCCACCTCAGCTCAACTGGCAGAGGTTCTACGTTTCCTTCAAGAGGGCCTAGAGAAGGGACTAGCCCCTAATACCTTACAACGCCAAGTAGCGGCCCTTTCCTCAGTGCTATCCTGAGACTCATTTCCTTCCTTGTCTCAACATCCTTCTGTCAGGAGAGTTTTAAAAGGGGCTTCTCACCTTCATCCCCAGTAGTACACAGGTATCCTTCATGGGACCTTTCTAAGGTGCTTCAGGCCCTGATGGAACCACCATTTGAACTCCTTAGGACAGTGTCTCTGCAATTCTTGACATTAAAGGCGTTTTTTCTGGTATCAATAACATTGGCTAGAAGGGTGTCAGAACTGGCTGCCCTCTCAGTCAGGCAGGATCTATGCACCTTTCATGATAATAGAGTTGTTCTCCGTCTAGATCCCACCTTTATCCCAAAGGTCAATACCTGGTTCCACAGGTTCCAGGATATTGTGTTGCCAGATTTCTGCCCCCTTCCGCACCACAACTTAGAGCACATGTGGCACACCTTAGATGTTAGGAGAGCGCTTAGAATTTACCTCAAGCGCATTTCCACCTTTAGGAAAACTGAAGCTATGATTGTCTCCTTTTCCCCATCTCACTTGGAGAACAAGGCCTCTCCTCCCACCTTAAGCAGGTGGGTCAGGGCAGGCATTGCACAGGCCTACAAGGCTATCGCTCTTCTGGTGCCTCAAGGGCTGACTGCGCACTCTACCAGAAGCACCGCGACTTCAACTGCCTGGGCCAACCAGGCGTCCCTGGAAAAGATTTGCAGAGCGGCCACATGGGCATCCCCGTCACCCTTCATCAGACATTACCTTTGCCTCTGCGAGTGTGGCCTTCAGCAGTCAGGTACTTCGCGAGTGGTTCCACAATTGGAGCGATCACCGGACGAGGACCCTCCTGTGGACATGCAGGCTTTGGTATGTCCCATCTTGGGCTCTTGCAGCCGCATGGAGGAGAATGGGCGTTAGTATAATTACCTGAGAACGCCCTTTATATCTATGTTGCTTGAGAGCCCAGCCCCTCCCTTGTTTTGTCTGGATTCTGGTAAGCAATATTAGCGTTCTAGATTCTGTTTTGCTTTCAGAGATACTCATACAGTCTGTCAGGTATCTTCGCCAAAGCTGGGGACACTCCCAGGGGCTGGCCTTTTATATACAAGAACAGACTCAGCTTAATGACATCATCAGGAGGAGTCTAACCCATCCTGGGCTCTCTAGCAGCATAGATAGAAAGGGCGTTCTCAGGTAATTATACCAACGCCCATTCCAACTTCTCGCAAAAGAAAAAGATCTCGCAAAGTTGCAATTGGTTGAGTGAATTTTTTTCCTTTCATTTCCCTGCACACGATGTCAAGAAATGCAAAGGAGATGGAAATCAGATAGGCAAAGATAGGCTTGGGAGAAGCGACGGCATCTGTGCGGACAATTTATAGCAATGCAGCTTTGGTCTTTAAGGTGTCACAAAAATTGTCACAAAATCCCCCACCTTTTTTTTTCTTGCTCTGCAGACTGAAATGGCTGGGCATTTGGAGTTTAATTGGATAATTTAATGAATAGAATAGAAACTGTTGATTTAGTCATCTGACCATGTCAAAGGGTAACTTAAATGAAAGATAGCAAAAATATATTACTCTCCCCCTCCTGCTTTGGATGTTGGTTTTAAATTTTGGGATTGTGCTATTCCCGTTGCTGGTTTTTAGATAACTTGCTGCAAAGTTACTCTCGTTTTGGGTGCAGATAGTGGACAGGTTGGTCGTTATTTTTAATCTCATGCTTCTACGTTTATAATTAATTTTGCCCTGGTTATTTTTAGTTAAAGGGTGTGATGACCAGCTGGGGAAATGAGTCGGGGACATCTGTTGTGGAGCAGATGGGGCCAAACTGAAACTGCAGCATGTCTCTTCCCAACTACTCAGAGGATACGTTTACCTCCATGACCGAAGAAGAAGAAGAGAATGAGAGGCAGTACGAGGATGACTCGTTTGAATCCTATGACTCAGCGGATGAGTTGGAAGAGCCAGCAGCCTCTGATCTGACCGAGAGCGCTTGGCAATCCCCATGCCAAAAGGATGAAGGTCGGTTAGGATCCACAGGGATCTGGTTCAGTTCCTTCTACAGGCTTACAACTGGGAAGGGGAGGGAGACTTAGGCCAGCAAAAGTAGGAAAAAAAGTACAAGGGGAGAAAAAGGCAAAAGAGAAACTTGCCAACTTTGCATTGAATAGCAAATTAAAACTTTTTTTTATTTTGCTAATTCAGAACATCTAGCAATATTAAAGAAATATTAATTATATTTAAGTCATTATTAATATAAAATATATTAAGAATTATTAAATGTATTAAATTAATTATACAATTTAAATTAAAATAGCTAATTAAAAATTAGACAATATTACAGAAATAAAGAAACATGTGCCAGGCAAAAGAAGGAAATGTTTGTGTGTAGCAATTGGCAATGGGGGCAGTCAATTTGTAGAGCATCAGGGAGATCGGGTAGCACTGTAAGATATCATAAGGGAAGATCATTTTTAATGTTTTATGTTTTTTAAATGTTTTAATTGTATAATTAGTGACAGCTGTGGACAAAGGACACTCTTGCTTTGGCCAAAGATGACATTAATCAAGAAGAAAATCCCAAATGGTGGGAAATCGTAACAGGAGAAGATGACAACCCTTGCACTCTTATAAGATTGTGTGCTTAGAGTACCCTTTAACCAGGGCTTGTCAGGCCTGAGCCCCCAAAACAACAGAGTGAGATCCACTTGAGTCTGGTTCTTTATTTGCCTATATCCATTCGACAGAATCTTGTCAGACTAAATTTATAAGCTTCTAATGTAACATATACACCATGAAAGATTCTAGGATGTGGCTACCCTGAACCTTTTCCTTCTTCCCATTCCAGTTCAGGACTATGCAGTCTTGGGCCTCATTCTGGAACGTGCTGCCTCCTTCAGAGTTTCGCATGTATGAATCCATTTGTCATTTGGTTGATCTCTGTGTTTTTTCCTCCCTCCCTCCCTCCCTCCCTCCCTCCCTCCCTCCCTTCCTTCCTGTTAGAATTGTTAGATTCTGCATATGTAGGAGAGTCTTTAACTAGAAAATGGATCAGTCTTCTGAAAGGCAACAGAACTATTGTTGAGAGATCCAAACCTTCCATAGAATCAGATACTGGTAAGTAATTTTCAGGTCTGAAACGTCTAAGCCAAATAACTCTCATGGTAATGATGATACCTATTTAGTGGCATTAGACGCAGTGCGGTGATACTATAATGTCAGAATTTGGGGCATTCCCCCATTTTTCAGGTTTTTTTAAAAAAACGTATAGATACGATAAGCCTATCAAAGCTAAATGTAATTAGAATACTTTAGAATAGCATAGAGCTGGAAGGGATCTTGGAGGTCTTCTAGTCCAGCCCCCTGATCAAACAGGTGAACCTATACCATTTCGGACAAGTGATTGTCTAGACTCTTCTTAAAAACCTCCAGGGATGGAGCAACCACAACACCTGAAGGCAAGCCGTTCTACACTGGTTAATTGTCCTCACTATTAGGAAGTTTCTCCTCAATTCCAGGTTGCTTCTCCCTTTGGTTAGTTTCCAACCATTGTTTCTTGTCCTACCCTCTGGTGCTTTGGAGAATAATTCGACCCCCTCTTCTTTGTGGCAGCCCCTCAAATACTGGAATACTGCTATCATGTCACCTCTAATTTTTCTTTTCTTTAGAGTAGCCAGATCCCTGCAGCCATTCTTCATATGGTTTAGTCTCTAGGCCTTTGTTCATCTTAGTTGCTCTTCTCTGAACTTTTTCCAAAGTCTCAACATTTTTTTTGTAGTATGGTGACCAAAATTGATTGCACTATTATATATTATATAAGCCAGAAGCACTCCGAATGCTTCCCCTCCACCCCGTGATCATTCCGTTTCTCTGTTCTGAAATGATGGCCCAACGAAGCACAGATTTTCTAAACAAAATGCCAGTGGATTAGCATTAGCACCACTGGTGTTACTAGAAAATAGAAATTGCTAGCTGTATTTGGAAGAGGTCCAGTTGCCCAGAACAACCTCTAAAGATAAGCCTAAGAAATCTGCA